ATGATCTCATAGAAAGGGGATTTATTGGACTCACCTCAGACTCCAAAGATAGGTAGCCAGGCACTCGTAGAGTGACTTGGATGTTACCTTCTTTCACCATCTTTCTATGAAAGGTGGAGTTTTGCTCGGGATTTAGCTCACTGATGCCACCACCTGCCTTGTGCAAGGTCCTGAGTTTGATCCCCAGTGTGCACCCCCAAATGCTCATGAAAGGGTGGACTTTTGAAATGTCTAATACAATGATCTATATCTAACAAACTGGTGCAGTATAGGAAATGGAGAGTAATGAATTGCAAAAGTGTACACATACGATAAATTATGTTAAAAGAATAAAGGGAGAAAGCCCAAAAGACTACGATAATCTCTTTTATCTTTGGTCGAGAAACTTTTTTCTTGTACTCAGGTATTTATTATGTATGAATTTTATGAGAAAAGGGAAAATATTGTTTGAGAATTAAACATGAAACATGTAATTTTTGTTCATAATTTTTACCATCATTTTCCAAATCAATGATAATGCATAGAACTAAATTCAAAATAAGACTTCTCATTGTTGGAAATATGACAATTTAGGCAGAGACAGATATCTACCACTAAGCATTACCATGTAGGTATTTTTTAGCTGGATATTATGTTTATACCCAGAGAAAACAGTTATAGGGATAGCAATGTTTGATTCAAGTGCCTGGTAATAAGTACTGTTGGCAAGAATTACAGAAGGGTTGAGCCTATGGTTCTATTTGAAAATTCTACTCTTTTAATTATTTGTTTCCTCAGACAATATTTCAGCTAAAGGAGTTTTGGGGAGAATTTTGCAAGAAGGGAAATCTGTAGATTACTTCCTTGACATGTCTGAGTCCCCTGTGTATTTCCTACCCTTTACTGTAGAAAGAATATTTAGAAATGAAAACAGAAGTCATGTTACTGTAAACAGTTGCTTAGTCATACAAGCTTTGACTTTGATGTCAACAGGCCTGGATGTCTATGGCTCCTACTACCTATGTGACCCTGTGTGTTTTTTAATTGGACCATGATAATTTCACTAGATTTAACTGATATCTATGATAAAATGTAGAATCACTCAGCACGATGCCTAGGCAGGAAAGATACTCAAATGCTAATAAATTTTATTACCTAGAGGGATTTTCATCTTCTCAGGCAAAGGCTGTTAGGGAGAGTAGCAGGACCCAAAAGTAGCTCATAGTTGTGGGACCTCTTATTATTGCTAGAGCTGTCCCCACAATAAAGAGGAGAAGCACTCATGACTGTCACTGGATCAAAGTGCGCATGTGTTTGAGTTAACAAAAGCTCCTTTTCTCAAGACATCCACTAGAACGTTGTCATAATAAATGTACAAATCTATGGTTATTGAAGAAATGAATGTTGCTCCCTAGAGCTATGTAGTGCTATCCCTATAAAACTCTACACAGTCACCTTGAATTAGCCACGAGATGCCTCCATTCTTATTTCAATCTCCATTTGCTGCCATCTTGGTTTTTTTAAATCAGTTCTGTTGGTACATTTAAGGTATACAATATAATGACATTCATCATTGGAAATTTACACCTTTACATAATCTATCTATCTTGGTTCTTATTTTTTCTCCATTCTCCTGCCCTCCCTTCAACTCCTCCACCCCTCCCTAACTACAAAGTCTTTCTTTTTCTCATGTTAATTCCATTCCCATCTTTTCCCCCCACCCTTTTCCCCTTCCCCTTTGCACCTTTTCTTCCTATTTCACATTATCTATTATACTTTTTAGTTATTTACACTTTCAGTTTCTCACACTAGAGAATATTTACACGTGTGTCCTATTTATTTCCCTTAAGAGTATGGCTTCAATGTGCATCCATTTAGCTATAAATGTCTCTAGTTTCTCATTCTTTATGGTTGGGTAGTAGTCCATTTTATTAATAAAAAACCCCACATTTTCTTTATCCAGCCTCCTGTTGATGGGCAATTGGGCTGCTTGTAAGTTTCAGCTATCACAATTGGGCTGCTATGAACATGGGTTCAGTATGTATCGCTGTGGCATGATTCTTTTAATTTGGGTGCAAAAATACCCAGCAGGGGGATAGCTGGGTCAAATAGGACCTCCAATCCTAGTTCTTTGAAGTATCTCCTTACTGATTTCCACAGTGGTTGCACCAGTCTACACTCCCACCAGCAGTGGAGCGGGGTTCCTCTTTCCCCACAGCCCTGCCAGCATTTGTTATTGGTTGATTTCATGATAGCGGCCATTTTTTGGCGGTGAGGTGGAATCTCAGTGTTGTTTTCATTTGCATCTGTTGGATAACCAGTGATGTTGAACATTTTTTAATATGTTTATTTTCTATTTCTCCTTTGAGAAATGTCTGTTCATTTCAGATGCCAATTTTTGGATTGAGTCTTTAAATTTGGGAGGTCTGATTTTTTAAGTTCTTTATATATTCTAGACAGTAGATCTTGGTCTGAGGAAAAGTTGATGAAAAGTTTTTCCCGTATTATGGGTTGTCTCTTTACACTGTTGGTTGTTTCTCTTGCTGTGCAGAAGCTTTTTAATAAGTAGACATCCCACCTGTTGATTGTGCTAGTTCATGTGCAACTGAGGTTTTGTTCATAAAGTCTTTTCCTGTACAGTGTCTTCAAGAGTTCTACCTAACCTCTCTTCCTGATGGTTTAGTGTTTCTGTTTTTTTTTTTTTTTTCAGTTTTAATTGAGTTTATTGGTACATTTTAGGGATACAGTACAGTTACATTCATTGTTGGGATCTTTTACCTCTACATGACAAGTCTTGATTCTCATTTTTTCCCCTTACCTCTGCCCTCCCTTCACCCCCTCCTCCCTGTTTCTGTTTTAATATTTAGATTTTTAATCCACTTCAATTTTAGTTTAGTGAATGGTGAGAAATATAGGTCTAGTTTTAATCTTTTGCAGGTTGAAACCCAGTTTCCTACTATCATGGATTTGGGCATTTTCTTTCCATTTTTTGGATAAGGTTGGCTATGGGTTTGTTGATTTGATTTTGTTTATGCTTTCGAAGAACCGACTCCTGGCATCACTGATTTTTTATTTTTTATTTTTTTGTATTAGTCTCTTAGTCTCCATTGCGTTAACTTCTGCTCTGATCTTTATAATTTCCTCCCTTGTGCCTTCTTCTCTTTCATCTGGTGGTCCCTTTAAAATTATTTCTGGACTGAGGCAGGGTACACAGGTAAAACACATTGTACTGACATGAGGAATGAATGTGAAGCTCAGAACACACCGGAAGGAAAACAGACTGAAGGGAGGACCGAGGAGTGAGGATCTGCTCCTTTCCTACAGCAGCTCCTGTGGCAGCATGAGTAAGAGCCTCCACTCTGGGAAATACTGGTCCCAAATTTGGATCCAATACCTTGCAAGTGTCAATCTAGAGTGGTGGCTCCTTCCTTCCACCATTAATATGTGACACTCATTATCCCTGGAAGCTGATTTGGGTTGAAATATAAACACATTGAAGATAGGTTTCTGGAAAGCTTCTAGGGCAAACAGGTTGAGCATGAAGGATTTCAGCTCCAACCCTGAGTCAGAGAACCTGGGTGCACATGTGACCTCCAGGCCGGACACTGGTCAGGGGAGCAGGAGACAGGCCATTGGTGTCCCAGCAGAGCTGCTGTTCTGGGACCGCTGGTCAGAGCAAACTAGGACCTCGTTCTGCAGTCCTGAGGTCGGTTACGAGCAGAGGGACTGGAGTGGCTTTAAGAACGTGCTCAGCTGGCCGGGCGGGGAGGGGTAATTGCAAAGATCAGGGCAAGGCATAGGTATTAGAGGAACAGCTAATTATGGAATAGATACGGAGCTGTTTTTCCGCAGTAACTTCTTAGCGACATCCTAGAGATGAGAGGAGGGCCAGGCTGGGGAGTGATGCCCGCGGGGGCCCCACAGTGGGTGTGACAAAGGCTGCTAGTGCAAGTCGGTGGGGAGCTTTGGTCCAGTGCCATCTGCCTCTGTCCTCTACCCCACCTGCTCCCGATTTTCACACTCAGGGATCGACGGGACCAATTATTCCAATTACTTTCTCTCCTGATTCTCCTGGCTTCTTGATCAACAGCCTTTATCTCCTGTGCACACACACACTTGAACTCAGCAGTTTCTATCCATTGTCTGCAGTCTTTGAAATCACTCTGGGTTTCCATGAACTCTATATTATTCGTATGGTCTCTGTCTACTTTGAAATCAGAGGTTTTTAACTTCTCTAGAAAGTTTACACTTTGTTCTTTAAATTGTTCATTCATTAATGTATTGAGAGGCTGTGTTTTGCAGGACCCAAAGGGCCTGACATAATAAACTCTTCTACAGATCTGTGCAGCTAAATAAAGTTCCCCGCTTGGGTCTACTTGCTCCATAGGAGAGAACTTTAGTTATCTAACAAATACTTTTTCTTTGAAAACAATTTATTCATCATCATCTTGTTTGTCTTCTCTTCCTCCTTTTTCTTCTTTATTTTTTTCTTTTTTTTTTTTGGTACAAGGAATTAAAGCTGGGGTCTTCACATGGTTTAACATCCCCAGCCCTTTTTTTACTTTTTGAAATGCTTGGCCACTAACTTGCTCTCTTCCTGCCTCAGCCTCCCAGAGTGCTGGGATTATAGGTACATGCCACCCTGCCTGGATTGAAAACTTCTATTTCCAAATGCTTTAAATCTTTTAAATGTCTGCACCTTGTGAAATCAATAGGTTTCTAAAGAGTGTATCTTTTCAACAAATCCCGGGTTTAGGTCTGGATGAAATAGTTATCACAGAATCAGCTGGAAAGAGCAAATCTTGGTGGAATACTAAAGACTTTCCACTCTGCAAGATGATGACATATTTTTGGACCCAGATTCTGTCTCTGGAAAGGCAGGGGACTATAGATGATTCTCTTTGAAATTGGTTCAACATTGATATAAAGGGGCAAATTCGTTAACCATGTTGATTTGATTTTCCTGAAAATCTGCCGGATAGAAAGTTCCCACTTTTACCCACCTTCATTGTTACCTTCAGAGCAGCTCTCCATGGCAACTGCCAGCGTCCCTGCTTTGGAATAATCCTCTTTAGCTCCCAGCGCACAGTCAAGGAATTTTAAAAACAGAGGACTTTGAAACCACCAAGTAGTCTCTGAGATTTCAAAGGCCGCAGAGCTTCAGATAAATAATCATTTATCTCTCTTAAGGTAAGTCCTGGGTTTGGAAATATTTCTATCGACCTCTGTCAGATTTTAAATGCTAACATAAGAATCTTAAACTTCATCTGTCCCCTCACCCTCTTTTTCAGCCACAAATGTAATCCCAGCATCTCTGTTACTGTTTTTAGCTCTTCTCTGGACCAGGATCTGACATGAGATGGTGCTAACATTTTGTATTCCTTAAACAATCAACTGAAAAGCTTTTATTTTTTTTTTTTCCGTATAAGTTGACTGGTTCAATAGTCATCTCCGGCCCTTTTTAGTGACCATTGACTAAAAACATTTATTGAGGCTCATGAGGTCTTGAAATCTCCTTGTTTTTCTAAGATACTTCATTCTCCAGAATCTTGATTATCAGTAAAGGAAAAAGAAAGATACACATTTCCTGAATATTATCATTTTCTTCCAGTATATGTTTTCCTTATCCAAAACATATTTACTTATTTTACTTATTGGTAGTTCACTCACATTTCTTTTCTCTTTACATTTATTTGCTTAATTTAATGATGAGAACCACAAATCTAGTGGAGTTCTTTCCCATGGGATAGGATGAGACTGTTCTCGTCCTGAGTCCTGTTTTGGGCCACCTATAGATGAAGGGAGACACTCTTCCTGGTGTTTGTTCTCTGGTTGATTCAGCAGAGACAATCTAACAGGCATCTTAACTGTCCTGCAGTTTGAAGGTGGACAGCCATACCAGCTTTCTGCCTGATGTTTGGGGTTATAAATTACCTCCAGACCCCTTGTTGTTCAGGAACAGCTTGTCACAGCAAATCGGCTTAGCCACCCAATTAGTGAGTCCTTTTAAATGTGTTTTAGGCACAATAATTGAAGGCTTTATTTTTTTCCCCTTTACCACAGAAATTCCTCTGCTTATGAATTTATCCCATTAACAGCCACCCACTCATCCCTGTCCAAGACAGACTCAAGGTAAAGAAAGAATGGAAATGTGCATCTGGACAAAGCTTTTGGTACCTGGGGTGCCTTTGTTCCTTCTACTCAGTCTTGCCCCCTGTACTGCGACAGACAAACCTTCAACCCAGGACAGCAACAGCACTGGGCATCAACTGACAAAAATACTACGAGTTCTCAGCGCTGGTGACCACCCACCCCTCAACCACTCCAGGAGCCTCATCAGGACGTTGTTGGAGAAGACTGGGTGCCCACGGTCACGTGGAGTGCAAGGAGATTGTCACCTGGTTAGTGACGGAATGGGATCAGGTATCAGGGCGTGCTTAAAGGAGAGCAATGGGATTCTGGGGCCACTGCCTTCAGAAAACACAAAATTTCCAAAACCCAAGTGGTCAATGCATTGTGGTAAAATAACGTCTGTGTTTGGGATCCAGCAACCTTTCAGCATTCTGCAGATGGTGCATTTTGTGTTTCCACCTTAAACTCCCTAGACACTTACTGCATGTTTAGAGGTACGGTATCTATTTGTAAGCATGAACTTTTGCTTGTTGTTTGCTTCCTCTCCCCCTCCCTCCCTTTCTTTCCTATGCTAAATGTGTACGTGATTAGGCGCTATTTTCTGTAGCACAATCATAGCAATCTGATATTTGTCTCATGTTCAGGTTTTCAGATTTTCTCCTAGATATCAACTGGTGTTTTCTAGTATTTTTGCATGATATGTGGTTAATGGCTTTAATAATCATCTTTTTAATGATGAGGAGTTTTAGCTGGGAAAGAGCAGTTCTGTAGGTAGAGCTGAAATCAGACCGATGGCTCTTAGAGGCCCACTCCACAACTTTCCCCTGTCAGCTGTTTCACGGAACACCCGTATTAGGGCTTCCTCCTGTCGCACTGAGACTTGGCTGGTCTGGGATGGAACTTTTAAAAGTCCCCCTGGATTACTTTAGTATGAAGTGAGCGAGGGCTGAGAATCCACTCTTCAGGGTACTTGGTGGCACAGTAGGAGGTTTACATAAAAGCAGCAAATGAAGGAAAAGCCTGGGTCATAAAAGGACACAAACAAAATTCAACCAAATTGCTCTGCACCACCTATTCCAGACTGATGAGATGCTTTTTAGGCAGAACCTACAAAAACACAGATATGTAAAAACATAAGTTAATCAGAAGCAAGTTAACTGCTTCCTAAATAAATTTTGGCGGATTTCCTGAATCATGCGGAGTTCAAGGGATAGGATTGGGAGCACATTGCCTGTCCAACTGTTGTTTTTTAAAGTAGTTATTTATTTGGTGGCAGAAGGGGTCTTGCTCGTAGACAGAATTTTTCTCTGTTCTCTGTGAACCACAAATAATTCGATAATTATTAAAATGCCCAATGGTTCCTGGAGGAAACATGTTATAATAGGAAACACGTCTGTGATGACATTAATATATTTTTAGATAGCAACAGAAGACATCCCACTGGAAATAAGCAGGTGTCATATCTTATTAATGTCCTCTGAGAATTTGCTTCAGGGCAATGTTCTGCTTTAATGACATGAAGTGCCTTATTAAGGCTGGTTGAGTATTAGTTTTGCTTGGGGAATATAAACAGGCAAAATTGTTCTCCATATTTGGGGCTGGGAGGAAGAGATTGTTTTGCATTTACTGTTTTCTGTGACGTTATGAAAGGTCTGGCCAATCTGGCTTGCATTTGAATTATTTCCGTTCCCAGGCCTTGAAACAGTATAACAGCTTCATCCTCTTCCCGTTGCCCTTTCTCATCAAAAGAAGCTGAGATGAAAGAAAGGAGAATCTCAGCCTCACCTGCTCAAGGCCTGTGAGTTACCTGCATCCCCCCACCAGTGAGGAGCCTAGGAAGAGTCTTCCTGTCATCCGTGGGCGGCCAGTGGAAACAGATCCCTCCCATTCTCACAAGCACCCGAGTTCTGGCCCAAATCACAGGGCTTTAGGTTGTTATGGAGTCTCGGTTGTTTTTTTGGGACCTTGCTAACAGGTGTGGCTCATGATAGAAATTCTGTGGTAAAAAGAGAGGGGAAAAGAAATTATTTCATATTTCTAAGTAAAAAAATAAGAAAGTCTTATGTTGAATTTGTGAAGAGGGAAAAAGGTGCTCCCTATTTTAGATGGTAGGTAAAAAAATGGAATTTGAAAAAAATAAGTCTGAAATATCTGAGAACACTAAGCTTTTAAAAATAAATCCAGGGCCAGGGATTTAGCTCCGTGGTTCCTGCCTCACAAGCTGAAGGTCCCGAGTTCAATCTCTGGTACCAACGATAAAAATAAAAAATAAATCCATTCAGGCTGTGCTCTTTGAAAGTGGATATTTCTTTTATGATGTTGACTTCTCTTCACGGAAGAGTTAGAATCTTAATGGAATTAATGAGGGATGAAGTAACTCTAAAAGAATAAACACGTCGGTAAAGATGAGAATCATGGTCCTACATAGGTTTCTGAGGGGAGAAGTGGCCTGTTCTGGAAACTTCTAGTTGTTAAGATATGCTGAACCTTGGCTTCCACATCTATAAATGTCATGGAATGGGGTCCAAGGAGGAGATGGAAAATTCAACTTGGCCCTCTGAGTAGGTTCCTGATTCACTTCATAGAAAGAATTTCAAGACACATCAGTTCAAGGCATAGGCAAGTTCACGAGGCAGAGTTGGAAGTGAGAGACAATAGGAAGAGGACTCCAGCTCCAGCACCTGGAGGGGCTCACTTTGATGAAGAGATTCAGAGTGGCCTGCTTAGCAAAGCACACCTTGTAAAGCTCAGAAGGATTAGCTAGTGGGCCAGGATTTGGCTGACCTTTATCTCCGTGTGGTTTCTATCTCTGGAGGAATGCTTACGGCTTGAGGGACCATTTGTTTCCCAAGAGATCACTGTCCTAGCTTGGGAGGGGGCTGCCTTTGTTCCTGACATGGGGTAATTGCTCTTGCATGGGGAGGTGGTCTCATCCCAGGGAGGGCTGCAAGGCTCTGCTCTTCCTTAGGTGCTTGTAGGTTTGGAGACCTCGGGACAATGCTCCGGAGAGGTCTAGAACTGGACATTGTATAAGCTGGCAATCGAGTGTCCCTGCAAACCGTGAGCATTCCTCTAGCTACTCTTACTTTGGTCTCGAAGGAGATGACAATGTAGGGTGTGTGTGAATATTGTCTGGTCAACTTTTCTTAAATGATTATTTTTCCTATATGCAGAACTGAACAGGGATCTGATCCAGGGTTTTAAGTTCATAAGGAGGATGAAAATTTGAGTTTCCTTGTTGCCTTTTTACCTATCTTGATTCCTTTTGTCCTTCCTCAATAGGACTGAGGTAATGAGTCTGTTGCTGGGCAGGTTTGTGGGGATAACATGGATGCATGAGCTTGGGCATGGGAATGAAGTTCCCTCCGTCCCCTCACATTCCCTGTACCTCACAGTGATGTCTGCTGCTGCTTTTCCTGTGAAAGAATGGCACAGGAACAGTGACGTTCTTCAGAATCCCTCTCCCACCTGTCCCCTGGATCCCTTCTCAGCTCTTCCAGATGCTTGGGATATTTGACTAAGTTCTCCAGGAAATTCTGAGGCACATTCAAATAGAAAAATCACTGTCTTCAGGCCCTCTATTCAGTCTGCCCCTCCGTTCATTTGTTCTAATTTTCATAGATAAAATGTAGAAAGCATCAAGCTTTATCTTATGTACCTAGTGAGTTTTAGTCTTAATTCTCTTAAGGTTTCTTTTTGTCAGAAGAACCATTACATCTCCTACGAACCCATAAGAGTCATCCCCTGCCTTCAGCCAACATCCTTCCTCCTGTGTTTGCCAAGAAATGGAAGAAATATAACTTACTTATTCTATTTTAGTCAATTATTATCCATTTAAAAAGATACCCTCCCATTAAGAAAGACCTTATAAAAATCTGAGAACCTAAAAGAAGACAGTAGGTTTACCCATGAGTCAAAATCAAACGTTAAACATCTTTGGCGCTAAAACCTGTCCGGTTCATCCTGTAGGTCTGCCACCTGTCTTACAGACAGCGAAAGAACACTATCATGTTGTTTTTTGTCTTTGGGGCTCTTACCTGTGTGAGCAACAAGCAAAGCTGGAACTGCACAGCAGGAGGGTCTGATTGGTCGTCCAGGGGTGATGGACAATTACTATGAAGTGTCTTCAGTAGCCTGTTTAGTTGTAAGGAAGGCCTCTGATTTAAGTTTAACTAACATTTTCTCGAAGCTTATTTTCTTGTGAATTCTTTAACACTTATTCCTGGATCCCCCCCACCTTCAGTCTTATGCCTCCACCTGACAAGACTGAAAGGAGAATCAGTGGGTTATTACTGAATGAATTCATTACTCTTTAACAAAGAATCGCTTCTCAGGAGTCAGCAGCTTGGCCAGATCTTGATGCCTATAGGATGGGGGTATTTGGAAAATTGTGTTAAATGTTCTTTCCCAAATACGATCGAGCCAACTGCTCAACACTTTAATGACAAAGCCAAATGTAGTGGTAATGAGTTGAAAACTTCCATCTCCCCTCCCTACCACTAGTGCTTCTTTTCTGTCAGATTTACCCATGGGAGGAATTTGTATTTTCTTATTTAGTTCCTCTGATATTTCCTACAATATTCTTTCCTCAAGCTGCTGTCTTCCATATTAAAGCAGCTTCTCTAAGATTCAAATACAAAAGGGAGTAAAGCTTTCAGCTTACAGTCATTTGATTCCTGGTTATGCTTTATTCCAGGAGGCCTCAATAATTAGACTAAGGGCGAGGTGACACCTGTTCCTTCAAGATGATCAAATTCCATAGTCAGGTAAAAGAAGATACCACAATAACTGATTTAAACTTGTCAGAAATCAGTTTTACCTTCACATTGTATGCTTTGTACAATCCAGTTCTCAGGCACTTACCTGTACAAGTACAATGCATATCCTTTTCTCAGCTGTCCCCTCACACACACACACACACACACACACACACGAGCAACCGTGAATGGACAGTGTAGGGAATGGGGAAGAGGGCATTGCCAGAAACTCTGCAGTGGCTTCTGGCTTCCTATGAGCCACCACACCACAAGATGAATTTTTAAAAAAAATGGACAAGAAACAAGACTTAGAATGAAGAAGCTGGTTCTTGGGACCTGATCCGTGCTGCTAATGGCAGCAAAGACAAAGACCCTCAAGCACATCCAGTGTTTATTGAATACAGTCATGGGAAGGAATAGGGAGCAGGGTATCCTTGAAGGGATCTACTGAAATACTGCCAAATACCTGGCATGATGGCACCAGGCAGGGCTATTAGGGAGTAAGCTTATCTTGCTTGGATAAAACAAACAGGTACTGGGACCAGGTGCAATTAGCAAGCAACCCATCGAGTCATGGAGAAGCCATAATTCAGGGGAAAGGATCACACTGACCTCAGGTGCATGGAACTCAGCAGAGCCAGGCCACTCCACAGAGCAGGGCCTAGGTTTCTGTGGTAGCCATTGAGGGAGGGGCTATACTTGTCCAGTCTAGTCCACCATCTGACATGGTCATTTGAATCATGCAGAGCTTTGGTCTGACTCCTGATATAAAGTAGTACAGCTGAATTATGGAAAGCAAGACACAGGTGCCACTCAGCCCACTAGTGCTGGGCAAGGATGTTGGCAACAGGATGAGTCTCAAGACACCTCAGGTGCTATGAGATGTGCTTGTTGGCCAAGCCCTGGCTACAAATGTATGGTCTGGTAGCCTCATGAACAACTATCTGCTCCTAGTGCTTTAGATGCTCTTCTCTCTACTGGCCCAGCTTTATAAACACCATGAGCAGCACTTGAAAGTACATCAACATAAGGCCAGGAATTTAGCTCAGTGGTTCCACTGCCTGCCTTGCAAGTGCAAGGTCCCAAGTTCGATCCCTGGTAACCAAAAAAAAAAGTACAATAACATGAACTCATCCAAATCTCTAGTTGACGTCTCTCCTACAAAACAGGAAGGAGAGAAAGGGAATGGTTGAGGAGGCTGCATTTTAAATACACGGAGGGTCCACAGCTGATGCCTCCAGGGCACCAAAGAAAGGAACCAGAGAATAAGGCCTGTCTGGAAGAATAGGACTCAAGACTGGCACAACTAAGTACAATGAACTGTGTGGCTTAGACAAGTTACTTAGCCTCCTTTAAACTTGTTTTTCACCTATATGATGGATATAGGTTTTTTTTTATATATATAAGGAAATTCTCACTTGATTCTGTTCAGTATCTTTGGGCACTGCATATAGATAGATTCACTCATTCATTAAACATTATATTGTTCCATAATTGTATGATTGGTAGTCTAAATGCTTTTTGTGGAAATGGTCAATGGATTAGTATGTAAGCTGAGAATATTCCATTTTTTCATTTAACATAATGAGATATAGTTTCCACTTTAAAAATTCATTATCCTAAACATTTTCCAGAACCCTGAGATTGTATCTTGAAGAATAACCTGAACACGTAGCATCTAGTATAGTGGTGGCCATTAAACCATAGCTAACAATGCCAATGATTTCGTAGCAGGGGTTATTTGGTACCAAGAATGCCTTTATTACACTTTTGTTTCAAATGAGTCACCACTGTGAGTCTTGGCATCAGCTCTGTGAGCCAATGCAGTGGACTTTTACTTAGGGGACAGAAAAGGGAAGCTGTGTCTTCAGAGGTGGAACCTAACATCCACATCAAAAGTTTGTTGTGAACCCCGTGTCCCCTCCGTTTGTCACGTTCTTAAATTGAGCGGTTAGAATTTGTGTGGCTTTGGGAATAATGTCACTATGCTTTGCTTTGGAGACAGATGAAATTTGCTTCTCCCTGAAGCAGATGGTATATACCAGATGTTAACCAGTGGGTTGCCCAGGAGACATGGAGTTAGAACCTCTAAAACATCCACTTCAGAAAGAACAGATGAAAAAACTTGTAGTACATTGTCCACACGGTGGGACAAAGCCTTCAGGCTCAGGGCGGACATTCCTCAATGCTTAATGCTGAGGGGGTTCTTGTTGGGTTATGAAGCTGCTTCTCAGACCCTGGGAGAATCCTCAGGAGCTCCCAACTGTCCTGAAGAAAGCTGCTCTTCTTTTACTGAAATAGCTTTCCCATCTCCAATTCCCATGTCTAGTTTTGTCTCTGTGTCCCAAGGTGTTAATCGGAACCCTTTATGCTAGGTAAACTTCTGAGATTAGAGAAGCCATATCTGCCTATGGTTTGTGAAAGAAAATATCATAGTATAGGAGAGAGAGAGGGAGAAAAAGAAGACTTTCCCTTTACCCTCTTAATGGCCGTGACTGGGAATTGTGAACTTAACTGGCAAAAGACAGATCGACAGGAAAAAAGAAATGCACATTTTATTTGCTGCTAAAAAGTTTTATGTAGCATTGGGAGCCTCATAGAAAGAAATGAAAGCTTCAAAGTGATTAGACCCAGGAACTTCTATACCATTTTAACAAAGATCAATACATTGTAGAGATGTGAAAAGAACAGAGGAAAAGGATTTGGGATAAAGGTTTGGCAAATTGTGGGAAATTATGAGGTGCTAATGGGTGCTAAGGATTGCTTTTGTAGTTTGTATGCACCACTGCCCACATCAACTCCTAGTCTCCAGCAATGAGAATGCTGTGTTACTTGGTGAAGGGAAGATATCTTTATCAGGAGAAATTTAGGTTTAAAAAAAGGGAAAGATAGAGAGCCTCCCATATCTACTGTTTCTCAATTGCCTTCAGCTCAAGATAGTCAGTTGCCAAAGTGCTAGATTTGGGGTATGCCGGCTGGGGCATGTGTCCTGATTCCTTTCAGGGGAAGCAACTTTAGAATTCACAAGGCTAAGATGGAAGCGGGAGCATGGTGCTCCTTCACTGGATTTTTATACTTCTTTAGTGTGAGGTATTCTGCTGTATGCTGAGGATGTGCTGCAAGAAATAGACAAAAGCTGACCTTTTTTTGGACCACTGTTCTCATAAGGAATAGAAAAATAAACATGCAGAGTAATTTTACAATGCTAGTGCTATGAAGAGAATAAAATGATGAGGTTCCAGAGCTTTGTGGTCCAACTTGGTAGCTATAGCTGTATGTGGCTTTTGGACCCTTAATATGTGGCTCGTCAGAGCTGAGATGTGTCGGAAGTAGAAAACACGTATTTGCTTTTGAAGATTCAGTCCAACAAACAGAACACAGGAGATTTAAATAATTTTAAAATTTTGGGTTATCTACTAAAATGATTATCTTAGATATGTAAATTTCTACACGATATAGTTAAAATTAATTTCACCTGTTTCATTGTACTTTTCAAAATGTGGCTGCTAGAAAATCCTGAAGATGTAGGTGGCTTGTGTGGTGTTTCTTCTGGACAGCGTTGTCCTAGAGGACAGAGTTGAGAGATCTTGGGAAGGCTTCCCTAAGGGGGAAGCATTTTAAACAGAGATTAGAGAAATGAGTTGAATAAGCAGAGTGGAAAGGCAGTGAGAGAGAGTCTGGTGCACCTGACAGAAAATCAGAGGTGAAGGGATTCAGTGAGACGGTAGAAAGGGGCTAAAATAAGGTAGGGGAGCTAGGGTATAGAGCTGCCAGACTGAGGAAAAAATGGCAGGTAATTTGGATTTTATCCTTTGTATATCGTGGCATCATTTTAAAAGCCCAAGCTTTGGCTCGTCTTATTAAGGGACATATGAGTGACTTGTGGCAACCAGAATTGGGGCAGAGGTATCGCTCTTAGCAAAAGGGCTCCCCAGAAGAGCATCACTGTTACATCAATCTAGCAGGGCGTAATGGCACCTGCCTGTAATCCCAGCCACCCGGGCGGCTGAGACAGAAAAATTCTAAGTTCCAGTTCAGCCTGGGCAATTTGACTACTTAGACCTTGTATCAAAATGAAAAATAAAAAGAGGGGATGCAGCTCACTATTAAGGTCCTGGGTTCAATCCCCGGTATTGAAAAAGTAAAAATAAAATAAAAAAAAAAGGAGTAACCATGACCCATTAATCTACAGTTTGCTATTGGGCCTGACTACTTTTCTCATCGTCTCCTAAAGTAATCAGCTGAGACCTCGTCTTGTGGTTGTTAGTGTGCTGGTGCAGTTTATTAAACTTTGCCTCTTTTTCTCTCATTTTTCTCCCCATAGTGTTTTGAACCAGATGTCCTGTTACTAATAGCTGGGGGAGATTTTGAAGAGCAGCCTCCAGAGGAGATGGTCCAGAGGGTTTCTCTTCTCCTCCTCTATTACATTACTCATCAGGAAGAGATCTGTTCTTCAAAGCTCAACATGAGTAATAAAGAGTACAAATTTTACCTACACAGCCTACTGAGCCTTAGGCAGGATGAAGACTCTTCCTTCCTTTCACAGAACGAGACAGAAGATATCTTGGCTCTCACCAGGCAGCACTTTGACACTTCTGGGAGGCAGGTAAGAAGGGCAGGGGTGATAACCAGGTCTCCTAATAAGTGAGAGTGTCAGGGCCTTATTTTTTTTTTTTGTCACTTATTCCTAAGACATTTAGGCACTTCCAAAGAGGGATGAGTATTCATGGTTTTAAACTATGACATGCCAAGTGACATCATGTAAAATTCTGAGTCCAAAAGTGGAGATGTAATGACTAACTGAAAGGTGAGTTTTAGCCAGAAGCTGGGTAGGCGGGTAGGCAGGCCAGCCAGGGGACAGGGCAGCTCTTTCCTCTTGAGTCCCCCTGAGGGCCCAAGGCGGCATGACTCAAGGCTTTTTGATCAGTGTCCAAGGACCGAACCACAGTGTGGAGGTGGGTGTGTCTATTTGCCTTGCCTTCCTACAGAGAGATGAGTTTACCCTTAGTTATTTCATGGAAGAAGCAGATTGCAAAAAAAGTGTTATTCAGTATAGCGCATTCAAGACTGTATGCTTTTTGTGGCTTTTGATTTGTGCTGTATAGGTGAAAGACCCCACTCAAATGCTTCTTGTCTCTCCCAATTTCCAGTCTTAGGAAATGGTCACCTGATCTTGTGTTGCTGCCGTTACTATTCTAGAAAAAGCTGCCCTTTTAGCATTGCTATTTATTTATTTAATGTCAGGGATTTAACCCATACCTTCATGCATACGAGCATCAGTGATGCTTTTGCTCTCTGACTTGTAATAGAGTTTTAGCAAAGAAGGTTCCTGAACGTAAAGTTTACTTAAGCCATGTTTTCAAAAATAATTAAGGAGCTACCTCACTTTTTTCTTTTCTTTTCTTTTCTTTCTTCTTCTTCTTTTTTTTTTTTTTTTTTTTTTTTTTTTTTTTTTTTGTTGTTGTTGTTCTGGGGATCGAACATGGCACTTTGTACTTGTGAGGCAGGCAGTGGAACCACTGAGCTAAATCCCTGGCCCTACCTCACATTTTTGAGGAGCATGGTTACAACTGGCTTTTTTCTCTCTTGAATTATTCATTAATATGCACAAACTTGGTTCTTAGCTTCAATTATACTTTCTAGGAGCCCACAAGTATCTATCTGCGTAGTCCTACTCTGGCTTAATGATCAGCAAACGTGTTCTCCAATTTGCTATAAAGATATTTAATCTCTTTTATTACTGGCAGACCAAATGTTTACCCAGTGCTTTAAGAACATCGCTACAGTAACTCTAACCCCGCAAATATCAAGCCTGTACCATAGCTTTGCTCCTGTTTTCATTTTAGGAAAAGTTTCCTTGAGAGAATTTAGTTTTTTGTTGTCTTTATAGCAACAGCTATGAAACACAAGACCGGTTTAAATGAGCCAGTAGAATTTCAGTCATCTTACCCATGATCCCTTTGATGCAGATTAAATGGAAATGGGGACCCAGAACTTAGAAGCAGATGGTGTATATATGTCAGGTTTCTGATTATGCTACATGTCCTGGCAATATCCACTTCCGAGTGCCTGTGAGATCACGTATTCATAGGACAGAATAAAATAATGCTACAGGGAGAACTAATTTATTCTATTTCCTCAATAGTAACTGACACCTGCTTTCGTAAGCCTTTTGTAGACCCATCCCAATGACCTAGAGACAGAAGTGCCCCTAGTTCCTAGGAAATCGGTCAACCGATTTAGTTTAGTGCCTCAAGCAGGCACTAAAGAAAGACAGCTTTATCCCCGAGTACCCATTCGCTAGGGTCCCGGCACATGCACACCACTCTTTCCCTGCACTCTCTGGTGCATGCCCCACCCTCGGGTTCATCTTACGGACCCTGAGTGTTCTCACCTCTTCAGCCTATCCTACCGATTTGCGGTTTCCATGGTTCTGGAACACGGATGGGTCCACAGCTCCCACTAGCCGCGCCTCTTGCAGAGCAGATGAGTATTCTTGATCACTCCCTAAGGACTTCGAGGGTGCGGATGGTGCTTGGAATTCTCCTTTATCCTCGCTAGCGCTTTGTGATTGGTGCGCTTTCACAACCCCCATGGAAAACACACTGCCGTGAGATTCGTGCTATATTATATTTCAGCTTGTGATTCTTACTCGTGGAAGTTCCCATCGTTTCGCCACATTTATACAACTTTTGGTAACTAACCTCCAGTTTCCACCGTGCTACCCCAATGGCTATGACTATGGTCCTATACACCTCAGCAGTTACAGAATTAAAATCCAGTGGGCATTTAAAAGTTATTGGTGGATGTTTTTGATACAGAAGAGTGATGCTCGTTTCAGAGAATCGGCACATGTATGTAACATACCTGGACCGTTTTCAATCACGTCGCCCCCCCATACTCCCCCCCCATTCCCTTCCCGAGAAGCGCTCTTTATTCCCTGTCTTAGGTCACAAGAGTTGAACGTTGACACAGTAAGTTTCCCTTGATTGCTCTCCTGGTGAGCCCGGTCTGCATTTCACAGGTAGTGGGCTCAGCGCGATGAGCTCACATTGAGCATTCAGTAAATGTTGAAATGAATGAACGGGGCACTAGTAGGGTAGAAGGCAAGACTCTAGACTCTCGGGTGCTCATGGGTGAATGGAGGACCTTGACATGCTCAGATGGAGAAGGCCCTGTGTCACACGTATGCCTTAGAAAGTCCGAGCCTGTAGGCCCTGTGCTAGCTTTGACTTACCCCGAACTTGAGGTCAAAGACCAGTGAGGAAACGGAGGTGCCCTGGGATGACGCAGGCAGCAGAGATGGTGTGAAGTCAGGGCAGGGAATGTGTATTTGGAAATCGTGAGCCTGCAGGCCAGGAGAGGGGTCCCCAGTTGACAGGTGTAAACAATAAGAAGCAGAGGCTAATGAAAAAGTGTGGGTAACCGAAGAGCGGGGTGGGGAGTTTCAAAACGCAGTGTCATGGCAGGTAAAACAAGTATTTTCCAAATACTGCTGCATCCCAGAGAGCAGAGGACAGCAGTCCTTCCACAAACAATTCAGTCCTCTTCGAAGTGAACGAGTCTGTGTTTGGGGACGAGCAGAGAGACGTCTTAGGCGATATCGCTTCGGAGGTTCACATTTTCTCTTGACTTTGTGTCTGACTTCAGTGTATGGAAACAAAAATGCTGCAGAAGAGATCGGGAATCCTGAGCGGCCGCGGGGCCGACGAGAACACCCTTCCTCGGCTGGCCGCTGCCATCATTGCTCTGTCCCTCCAAGGAGTTTGTTTGGGACAAAGAAACGTGCCTTCCTCAGACTATTTTACTGAATATATTTTCCGTTTCTTCAACAGTACAAGTGCTCTCCACCTATCGGGTAAGGATATTTTTTTATGAATTTAACTTCCAGGTGTCATCTACCAAACAAATCATGCGCCCAAACAAGGGCCGCAGTGTTTTGATGAAGGAATTTGCCGAGGGTGTGTGTGTTTTACATCGTTTTATCTCAGCATGTAGTGAGAGAGCTCGGGTGGCCTCTCAAGGGTCGCGTGCCATGACATCAAGGTATTAATGAGGCGTAAAAGTGAACTTCTTGGGTGCTGGAAATTGTGGCATTAGAGCCAGTGAGACACAGCCAGCACTAGATCGACATCATAGCACTGCGTCGATTGAGGAGGCGGAACTCCAGATGTTCAGGAGGGTCAGTACAGGTTTGCTTATGAGTCAGTAAGTCACGAACTTAAAATAAAAGTAATGTGAGCTATTCACCTTCCTGACTCCTCTTTGCTAGAGCTCTGAGATGAGGTGGGATGCCAGGAAAGGAACCAGAAAGTTTATTTTTGCACATTTCTTCGAACTCGATAAGACAAACATCTTGAAGATTACATGCCTTGTTTTTCAAGTCTGCGTTAAAATGGCCAGAGACAGATTCTCAAGAAAGCATCACATTAGCAGTATCATAACTTAAAAAAAAATCAATAATTCCTGAATATTATAAAAATGCCTAATGTTTACATTTTCTTAATTTAAATTTTTTATTATTTTCGGATCAGAATCCAAATAAGGTTTATAAAATGCAACTTGTTGAGAAGTTGTTAAGTGCCTTGTATAACTGTCAGGCTTTTCCGTCTCATGTATTTTGTTGCATTCATAATCATTTTGACATGCTTTTCTATGTGCTGTATTTCATGTATATTGGTTATTACATGTGGAGGCCTGATTATTTCTCAGCCTATTTTTGGGAAGAACTATTTTAGTTACTGACTTCCACTAGGAGAAATATAACATTTGGATGTCTCTCTCCTCCCCGCCTCTCCTGCTCTCTCTCGCTCTCTCTCCCTCCTATCTTCCCTTCCTCCTTTTGAGAAGTTGTAAGATATTGATGATTGTTGTCTAGATTGATTAATAATTTAGGGGTTATAAATGGTGATCTTCTATTCCTCTCATTCCTGCTTTATTTATTGGTGTAATAATTCTACAATGGAAGAACTTTCATCATTATTTTATTTTACTGTCGTTCTCAAACTATAAATTCTTAATAATTCTTAATACTTTAATACTTTAATAACCAGTTTTCTAATTAATAATGTTTCCTTGCATCTTTCACAGGAAAGCAATGGTATCTTTAAAAATATTATGATTTCATACCTCTTAATTTAGTATCATTATTGCAATTGTGCTTAGATCTACTATTTGATCAGTAGGATCTTGTTCAAGTTGACTCTAAGTCCTTCTGACAAAAATCTTTAAAATACTTTATATTTCTCTTACTTTCCAACATAACATGATATTCCAGGTTTGCCCTATACATTTCTGTCTAGATCTGGAATTAATCATTTCTTCAAATATGTTTTATTTTTATACAATTAAATTAATCAGATTTTACTCTGGTTCCTTTTAAATTTCAGTTAAGAAAACTTCCCACATTCTCAGGTAATGGAAAAAACCCACCTAGTGTATCTTTACATTTCTTTCTTTCTTTTCTTTTTTTTTTTTTTTTTTT